AGTGTTAAATTAATATTCAAAAGATCTATCCAAGTTATTAGTTGATTTCACTTTATTCATCAAAAGATCTCCTCTTTTGATATTCCCAATTATTTTGACTTCTAAGTCTAATGATCCTCTCTCGTACCCCTTCTCTACAAATTTTGTGGTTAGGATTTCAGCTTGTTCCATATAAGTACTTTTATTGGAACAATTGCATCTGAGTCGAGTATATTGGCTCTTAGGGACCCCTGCTAACCATCTCGGATGATGTCCACTCTTGGATTCAATAAAACTATTAGTATCAGTGGGCTTAAAGTAAGTTTTAGTTAAGATCTGAGAATCTTCAATGAAAATGGGCAGATCCAAAAAATCGATGGAAATAGAACTGAATACTGGGCTGAAAATTAAAGAGAGGGTATTATCATTAAGATACCAGAAGAAGTCAAGTAGTTGTTCTTCAGACCCCTTCCATATGACAAGGATGTCGTCTATATAACGACGCCAGAGCACCAGGTTAGAAAATTAAGCCTCAAAAGGTTCTTCATTAAGAAACAATTGCAAGAACCTTTAAGAGGAGAATATGACTACACGTCTGATCAGGATTCTCTTAAGAAATGTAATCCCCGGTCAACTTTTTGCCCTTATGACAAAGGGGTTCAAATAGAGACTTTTAATAAGATGGTGATGTCAGACCTCGAAAATATAACCAACAAGAAGGAATATTGTAATAATATGTCTAAGCATGAGGTACAGACTCTTAATGACTTAAAAAAGAGGGACGATATCATAATTAAAAATGCTGACAAGTGGGGGGCATTGTTGTGATGACCGTCGAATTTTATTTGGGGGAATTTTATAGATTATTGGGGGATACAAATATGTACACTAGACTCTCTAAGAATCCCAATGAGGCTTTCAAATTTCAATTGAAGACCTTATTGTAGAAAGCAGTCCAACAAGAAGTAATAGATACCGGGATCTACCAGTTTCTTTATCAGGAAAATCCCAGGATTCCGACCTTTTATTTCTTGCCTAAAGTACACAAATGCAAAGTTAATCCACCAGGTAGACCCATTATTAGTGGTATTAATTCACTAACATCTAACCTATCCCAGTTTATTGATCATTCCTTACAAGTACATGCTCAATCAGCCCAATCCTACTTGAAAGATACTAAACACCTTCTGCAGGAGTTGGACTCCATTGAATGGCATGACGATTATATGTGGGCATCCTTAGATGTAGGCTCATTGTACACAGTGATCGATCATCAATTTGGTATACAAGCTGTCAAAGATAATCTAGACAGAGATACATCTTTAAACCAAGCATTTGCAGGGTTTCTATTAGAAGCCATTGAATTTATATTAACTCATATTTTTTTCATGTTCAATGATGAGTACTTCCTGCAGATCAAGGGAACAGCCATGGGCACCAGGTTTGCCCCAAGTTATGCCAACATCTTTATGGATTTTTAGGAACGTAAGTCCATTTGGGACAATAATCCATATGCGGCAAACCTGGTGCTCTGGCGTCGTTATATAGACGACATCCTTGTCATATGGAAGGGGTCTGAAGAACAACTACTTGACTTCTTCTGGTATCTTAATGATAATATCCTCTCTTTAATTTTCAGCCCAGTATTCGGTTCAATTTCCATCGATTTTTTGGATCTGACCATTTTCATTGAAGATTCTCAGATCTAAACTAAAACTTACTTTAAGCCCACTGATACTAATAGTTTTATTGAATCCAAGAGCGGACATCATCCGAGATGGTTAGCAGGGGTCCCTAAGAGCCAATATACTCGACTGAGACGCAATTGTTCCAATAAAAGTACTTATATGGAACAAGCTGAAATCCTAACCACAAAATTTGTAGAGAAGGGGTACGAGAGAGGAACATTAGATCTAGAAGTCAAAAGAATTGGGAATATCAAAAGAGGAGATCTTTTGATGAATAAAGTTAAATCAACTAATAACTCGGATAGATCTTTTGAATTTTCATTTAACACTCAATACAATTCTAAAACCTTTGCCATTAATAAAATATTTAAAAAATATTGGAACATTCTTAAGTACGATGAATACATAGGTCCTCAGCTCCCGAAACACCCTAAAATCATCTATAGAAAATGAAGTAACCTTTCAAGTTTTCTTACACCAAGTCTTTTTCAGAAGAAGACTCATGTTCAAACTAATAACTTTAAGGGGTTCCACACCTGTGGAACATGCAAGGCATGTAGAGGACAGCCCCTCCACATGTTTTCCTTTTATAGCTCTGTTACCAAAGAGGAATTTAAAATTCACGGACAAGTCACATGTTCCTCCACACACATTGTGTATCTCCTCACGTGTGGATGTGGAGCACAATATGTTGGGAGGACAGTGAGGAAAGCTAAGGTACGCTTTCTGGGACATAGGAATAACATCCATAAAGGGATGTTAAATCACTCTGTTCCAGTTCATTGTAAAAGGTGTCCGCTTTTTGACACACATGTTTTCTCTTGGGTCGTAATAGAACAAATATCACTGGGTGTAAGGGGAGGTGATATTGTCATGAGACTCAGACAGAGGGAAGGATTTTGGATTCACAAGCTTAAAACACTTAAACCGTTCGGGTTGAATGTGGATTTTGATTTGATTTGTTTTCTTTAATTATTATTCTTTATTATTATTATATTATTATTATATTTTTATTTTTATTTTTTTAATCATTATTATTATTATTATTATTATTTTTATTTTATTTTATATTTATTTTTTATTTTAATTTAAATTTTATTTATATTTTTTTCATCTTCATTTTTTTTTCATCTTTTTTTATATTTACATTTATTTTTATTTTTATATTTATTTTTAGTTTCATTTTCATTCTTATTTCTATATTAATTGTATCCTTATTTTATTTATTTATTTATTTATTTATTTATTCATATTCATTATTTTTTTACATTCATTTATTTTTTCCTTTTCATTTTTTTAGAATTTTTTTGAATTGGCACCTATATAGCTTGTGATATCCTTAATCACTGCTCTCTGTGAGAAGTGCTCTACAATGTATATCCAATGCATATCAGATGTAATTTACTTTACACATATGGCTTGTTTTACCAAACTCAATATATTTTTATTATCTGGTAACTGTGTGTAACTTTGTTCAATACATTTATTTTTTCATATCCAGCTTTGTGTCTTGAGATTTTCCCCATTCCACGCACAGACCGATGACGTCTTCTTGAACAGCCGATAGGTGGAACGCATATGCGTTCCACGAAGAAAAACGGAAGTCCATATATGGCCACAAGTTAATGAAGAAACTGCGGACAGGTGACCTCAGTGTCCCTGATTGGCGGAACCAATGGAAACAAGACGGGGGGATCTTTAAAAGGAACTTTGGACATTTTATACTTTGTAATGTTTATTCTTTGCTGCTACAATTGTATTTTAATTCATTTTCTCCTGAGGAAGTCTATATTAAGAGACGAAATGCGTTGAGCTTTGTATTGCTGCTTATTCCTGTCTCCTATCCAGCTGAAACAGAGGGACACAGAGACTTATTGATGAGCATTTTTATCTTTCACTTCCTGTAAGTGTGTTTAACTAAAGTGTCTTTTTTACATTTTAAGCACTACTGTACTATGTCCAGTTTTTTCTTTTTGACATGTATCCTGGGACATTGAGGACGTCTGTAGCTGAGTACTTAAAGGAACCTTGATGGGCTCATAATATCCGTACATCTTGTGAGTGTATTATTATTACCAAGGGGCCACTTTTCATCACATAGTGTTACCCTATGAATTTTATCTCTGCCTTTATCTTTTAGGTGTATCTTATATTTTATATTTGACTTTTGAGGATTTTGAGGAATCCTTTTGTTACACCCTGACATATAAGTGAAGTAATTACCTTTATTTTGTATATATTGCTGCACCTGGGTGGTCTACACATACATATTATTGAAATATTTCACTCTTTTCAGCAGCAGAGAGATCATTTTTCTTCCCCATATTGCATGAAAATGGTGCTCTGCTTAATAATATGAAACACCCTCTGAAAGGGTTAATGTTGTAATGGACTCTAATCCCCTCGGTTCTCGATCCCTCGGTCACCATAATCAATGTTGATGGAGAATCATTTGTAAGCAATAACACACGGACAACAGCTTTACAAGACTCTCAAATGAGTGTATTCCAGAGCTGGCTTTTATACATAGTTTGCTTACATTAGCCATGGTATATGCAAATACAGTACAGACTATAAGATTTATTACTTCCTTGTATTACGTTATTCTGACAATGGAAAGATAAGCTTTTGCATACGTCTGGAAAAGAATATCCTTAAAATCGGAATGGGCAAGACATCCTGAAATTTAGCATTGTCTTACATCCTATAGAAGAAATACCTTAGTCTGTCACAGTCAGCATATTGACTTTAAGTATTCAATATCCCTTCAGTCAGCAATAATCATTTTATAAACCTTATAAAAGCATAAAATACATATAAACAAGTTAACTATTTAATATTCTTACATTCCCCTCTTTGAGCAATAAAACAATTGCTCATCTTATCGATAAAATCTTACCAGGACAGAGAAACTTCCACATGGTATTTTCAGGGGTGCTAGTCACTCCCTGCGGGACTTTCATTAATTTCTTCACCTCGATTCCCATGTGGTAATTCCTAAGGCCCAGTTTAAAGATGGGTTGATACTCTACAGTGGCAGAGAGGAGAATTTCTAATTGTTTCTGTTCTGCATTATGGATTCATTTCTGTACTCTCTTCCTCAATGTACAAGTAAGATGGCAGTTATATAAAATCATACACAATAAAATCAGGACTATAATAACAAAAGGATAGAAGAATGATTTCATTATCTGAGATCCAGTAGGGGACCAACCAGTAAAGCATTGTACCAATGATGGGCTAAATCATTCTGAATTTGTAAACTCACCTTAAGGAGTTCTCCTTTTAGGATATGTGTGGCTTTGGGAAAAATATAGTCCCCTGTGTATGTGGGTGCCCACCAGGTTAAATTCTTGGCAAAAAGATCATAAACTGGTACTGGTAATGTGTTAAATTGACAAGCTAATTTAACATCCTTTGATGATGTATGATATAATGTAAAATAGCAAGAGCATGAAAAATGTGAAACATTACCAGTTAACCATCCATTGCATTTACTGGATTGGGGTTTTAGAAGTAACCAATCATTATCTGTGAGGTTACACATTCCTCTAATCTTCTCTAGTTTAGGAATCATTAGTGTGTTTTCTAATGCCAATCCTTGTTGTTGTATCCATAAATACCTGATGGCACAGGTACTCCAGTTACTTAGACCTGTAGTGAATTTCATAGTTGCAACAGTTAAATTATCTAAATAATTATACATTGATTTATCTAAATCCAATCCTATAACCTGTGATTTAACAACAATTGGAGCCCAATTTGCAGTAGCATGAAAACCAGTCCCTATATGCATGCTGGCTGTGTTTAACTTATTCTTGAGGGTCTCCATATCTATAACTATTTAGTATACCCATAGTGGTTCCAGCAACATCTAACAGTGTGTCATACCATTCCCTTTTCTGCCTTTTGTTTGTTGTGTTACATAATGTTACAACAAGAGTAGTGACTTTTAATGACACATGTACAGCTTGTAAGAAGGCAGTTGTATTAACACATGTGGATGGAATAGGTGTGTGTGTGTCGTGGTTGACTTTTGGTTCTATGATAGTGGATGAAGGACAGTAATAAGGTGTAAAAATATAAGGTAGTGTATAGTTCTCAATTGTAGTGTCGTTCATAATGACTAACATTTGTCCCCTTTTTCCAATTAATGATACCAGTTATATAATCATTATTAAAAGTAATAAGGCCTGTCTATTTACATTGATATGCAACCTTAACTGTGCACATTTCTGCGTTATAAGATCTAACAATTTTCTGTGAACCTTCAAACAAACATAATGCATCGGTTTCATTAGCTGTAGACACATTTCATATGGGTAACTGGTACTTATAAGGGTTACTATTTGTCCAATTCATCCAAATGCGTTCAGTGAATGAATGATTGCATATTACATGCTGATAGAAAGGTGGTGGAGAAAGGTTCTTGAGGGGGCGTGTGTGACGAATGCTAGATGAGGGGCTAAGGCCTAATTGGGCTGGGGGTATTGAAGAATTGTTCATCATGTCAGAGTCTTTTTCCAGAAACAAACAGGTTTCAAACTTGCCATTGACTTGTACTCATAATGGCATTCAAGGAACAATATCAGAGGGAGTATAACAACTCCAGAAAGCATAGCGCACAACATAATCTTGGTCTCAGGTACGTATGATCCTCTCAATCTACGATATGGTGTAAAAGCCATGATGCTTCGCTGAGGAGAAATTCTTCTGTTTCCGAGCGAGGAGTGGTGTTGTCTTCCTTGGTTCCCCTCTTTGGACACAGCTTCACTCGGGATGCGTGAATCCAGATGTCATGGGAATCTGTGAGGACAGCGGTTCTGGTTACAGCAATCACAGTAGCAGGTGGTCCAAAAGGGTATCCTCCTTTCTTGGTCCTGTTCAGCTGACGGATATACACCTTGTCACCGGGCTGGTTTGAATGAGTAGGTTCCTGTGAAGGTAAGGGAAAACTGCGAAGAAACATTGTCATACATACCATTCGGTTTTATCAACAATTCACCTTGTGGGGATATATTCTTATCTCAGCTAAAATAGCTGGTAGATATCTAGTCCAATTTACCCATGTTCCTGGGTAAATTCTGGGCTTTTCCTTAATAGTCCTATTCATCCTTTCAACTACCCCTGTATTCTGTGGATGATAGGGTATATGAAACTGCCAGGTAACTTGCAAGAATTTAGCAAGTTCCTGGGCAACCCCACTTGCAAATACCGGGCCATTATCAGAGCCAATCTGCAGAGGGCAGCAATACCGGGGAATAATTTCAGTAACAATAATCTTCACTAGCATCTTCCCTAGATGTCACAAAGGCCTCATGCCATCTACTAAACTGATTAACTATGACCAGTAAGTATTGCTGTTTCTTACCAATTTTGGATACATGAATAAAATCAATCTGTAAGTGTGTAAAAAGAGCAGTGTTCACACGATCTTACAAAAGACTGTACATGCTGCCTGAGATTCCTAATATAAAATGAATTCATGAGGAATTGAATGGTGCTTGCTATGTGCCTGACTGATGAAAATAAATCAGCTTGCTTCAAGTATGCCTATTCTTCAAGTATGCCTATTCTCCCCTCTTTAGAGAACAGATCATTCTGATCTTTCTCTAAACCTTGTTTAATCCAAAAGACAGATTCTGGGTATTTAAAAAAAGAATCTCATAACCACTGAAGCGCTGGGCTGTCATGTGTTGTGTGGTGAGATTTGTCAGCTGAGTGACCTGGTGACTGGCATGAAGTATTGTAGGATGCCCTAGTGTGATAGTAGTAGCAGTTTCAACAGCCATTGCACATGCTATCAATGCTCTGAGACACGCCGGCATACCCTGTACCGGAGCTTGAACTACTTTGGAAAAGAATGCTATGGGACGCATACCGCCTCCTTGCTCTTGTGCACAGACCGCGGCCATGGTTTTACAATTGTCCCAAGCATACAAATGAAATGGTTTACAATACACAGGTAGTCCTAAAGCCTGGGCTTGCACAATAACAACTGTAAGGGCAATATATGCAGCTAGCATGTCTGGTGACCAGCAGACATTTTCAGGGCTGTCAGAACGTACAGCCTCCCTTAGGATTGAGTCATAATGGGAGCATTCAGGGATCCATTGGTGGCAGTAATTAATCATGCCGAGGAAGGTGAGCAACTCCTTCCGAGTAGTGGGTGTAGGAATCCTCTGAATGACCTCAATACATTTTGGACTCAATTGTCTGGTGCCTAAAGCCAGAACAAAACCTAAGTATTCAACCTTTGATTTACACAATTGCATTTTGTGTTTAACAACCTTGTGACCCACAGTTGCTGACAGTATCCACAGTGCTTGCCTCATAGCTAGGGCTACATAACAACAAATCATCAACATTTTGCAAAAAGGACGGAACCATGACCGGTGGTCCATGTTTTTTAGAGTATGTTGGAGTACCAACGAATAAACAGCTGGGGAATCCACATAGCCTTGGGTAAGCGTGTCCAGGTAAACTGACAGCCTTCAAAAAGTAAAAACCATAAGTAGCTGTGTCTCTTGATCAATAGGTATAGAAAAAAAAATGCATTACTTAAATCAATGACAGTGAAGCAAGTGGCATCATGTGGAATGGCTGTAATGAGGGATGTCACATCAGGGACAATGGGTGAAATGGGCACAATTAAACTATTCAGGGCTCTAAAGTCCTGAACTAAGCGATATGCTGGCCAGTGGTGTTGGGAGTGGGTCTGGTGTTGTTCTTGCCTACCGGGCATATTTTGAGAATTGTGGGGTTGGTGGGGTGTGTGGGGTTTCCTGGGGTGTGGACACTCATTCCTCCAGTGGCCACAGTTGAAACAAGTGTTCCTGTCTATTCCTCCTTGGTTACCCCTGCCCCTATAACCCTGATTTCCCTGTCTCCATCCCCTTGCCCCTCTTTGACCACCCCTTCCGCGGGCTTTATGTGCTCCATCCCATCCTCGCTCTCAGCCTGTGTAGCTGGACATATGTTGCAATCCCTGAGCATAATAAGCAACCTTACTTTCCTAAACCTTTTCTTAATTCAAAACAACCTGCATTTTCCTTTTCTATAACCTTGGTAAGAAAATCTGAGCTATCCAAATTGGCCCAGTCTGATCAATTGTTTCACAAGCAAAGAATACTGTGGCAACATATTACCAAGGCATGACTGTATTTTAAAGAGATCTATATCATCTCCAGACATCAAACCTGCCTCATCCTTCCAACACTTGTAAAATTTCTTTACAAAAATCATATTACCAATCTCTTCCTTTGCATCTTGCTTATATGCCAAAGCAGTGAATATAGACTGCTTATTCTTCCATAATCCCAACATTTCAGCTTCCACCTTGTTCCAGATTTTAGCACATCATACTGAAGTACTAAGCTCATAATCACCAATTCATTTCAAACCATATAACTCATACTCAGCATCCCATGTAATATTAGTCATCTCATAAAACAATATCTTTGTAGAAACACATAATGGGTACCCAGCAGATATGCCAATACAGAAATCACATTTATGGGCACACAACTACACACTCTGTCTCCTTCCTAGGAAACACAGATAGACACAATATAAAAGCAATCTTAAACTAACACCTCCAAATCTCCAACTATTCTTGGCCAAAACGCTAGTATTCAACAACTAATAAAACAGTTATTTGCTAGGTTATTTGGTTGTCATTCTTATCAGTATCACTAGACTGTGACAAACTGATTCACATATAATTTAAAACAATACAGCAACATATAAATTAAACCACTTTCAAGTTAAACTGCACACTTATCACACATTATCACAGTCACCATTTACACAGAATAAACAGCTGTATTCAGAACATATTATTGGAAGGTATACCAATTTTAGTTTAGATTTATTTTAGGGATTCTTATGTGTACATTTTCTTAATTAACTTCATTACTTTAATCTACTATAGTATTGTATTTAAAGAAAGGATCCATTTATATAGCGCGCTCATAACTCAACTATTTGTATAAAACTTCCATTAACTAATCTGAGATGATGCTGCATCAACTTAAATCTTACAGAAATTTTTTTTTGCAAACATCTGGACCAGATTAAACAGACATGGTTTCACCTGAATCTTTCAGAACTCTCAGAGACTTAAAAATTTATACTATACCATGTTTTAAAGGCATGGCAAACCTTTAGACCGGTCAGTCTCCAAGAGCCCTTAGTAACACAGGTAAAAAACCTTTGTCCATGATGTCTGATTCAGGCTATATACCACAATTTAAAATATCACATAATGTGAGACATAGAAGACACAAGCAGTAGTTATTACACTGGATCATTTAAAAGGAACCTGTTGCAATAAAAAGGTTAATTTACAGTGCAAAATAAAGCATGTGTTGGACCGCTGAAAATGTAAATGTTGCTCTGTTATTTTCAAACATAAATCATATTTACAGTATGGATCCTCTGCAACAAACACACAGGGCAGGGAAGATGTGCTGATTGGTGTTTCTATACAATTAATCCCATATGGGGAATTAACTTTCAAATACTAATGAAGTGACTTTTTGTCTCAGTTATTAAATATACTGAGCTCATCATGCAAACAATGCAACACATTTACACTATCCCACTCTCATAATAAGTGTAGTGGGCTTATAGTATTTTTAAAGCAACAATCATACCAGGCACATAGATCCCATGTGAAATAACTTACAATAAAACAGAGTAATAAACTTATACTTCTATGCGACAGAAAGAATAAAGTAAAAAGATTTAAGTAGGTCTATCAGGTACAACCTATGAGTCATTTCTTTTCTAATATACAGTACTGCTATCTTGCAGAAAGATAAGTCCTGCGCTCACTCCCATCACTACTGGACAGCAGCAAGGACTACAGTACACATCAGCCCCAATATATGGTAAAAACCAAAGAAAAACAAGTTACCTGCGTTCTCTCCTTAATCCCTATGTATTTTTAAAACCTCCATTTGTTTAAAAGTACTGCTATCTTATATATACACATATACATATACATACATATATACATACATATACACATATATACATACACACACATATACATGTACATATATTGGTCACTCAGGACATGAACTCACATTTCCCATACTGCTGACTCAGAGTGGGGACACTACTAACTTACCAAAGTGTGTCCCCAATATAGACAAACAATCACCCACAAAAAAACACTTAAGACAAACAAAGGTGACCGGGAGAAAGAGAAGTTTGGGTTATACTTATAGATCAGAACACCTATAGACTTAATAAACCGGAGACCTCTTATGGTCTCAAAACCTGTATCTACCTGAGATACCCTGTATCTATCTTAGATACTAACCTGGGTTACCAAAACCCTATAATAAACCGGAGACCTTTTATGGTCTCAAAAACCTGTATCTATCTTAGATACTAACCTGGGTTACCAAGAACCCCTATATATATTTAGACCAAATGTCTAATAAACCGGAGACCTCTTATAGTCTCAATATAACTAGAGTCCTTACACCTTTCCTATCTACTGGATACAGTCTTACTGAACCAAACGGGGGTCATAGACAATCAGCGTCAATAAGACACAAAAAGGCTACTCACCGCAAATGGTTTTGCTGATCCAACTTCTATCTATCCCACTTCTAGACACCAAGCTGAAAGGGTTAATGTTGTAATGGACTCTAATCCCCTCGGTTCTCGATCCCTCGGTCACCATAATCAAGTTGATGGAGAATCATTTGTAAGCAATAACACACGGACAACAGCTTTACAAGACTCTCAAATGAGTGTATTCCAGAGCTGGCTTTTATACATAGTTTGCTTACATTAGCCATGGTATATGCAAATACAGTACAGACTATAAGATTTATTACTTCCTTGTATTACGTTATTCTGACAATGGAAAGATAAGCTTTTGCATACGTCTGGAAAAGAATATCCTTAAAATCGGAATGGGCAAGACATCCTGAAATTTAGCATTGTCTTACATCCTATAGAAGAAATACCTTAGTCTGTCACAGTCAGCATATTGACTTTAAGTATTCAATATCCCTTCAGTCAGAAATAATCATGTTATAAACCTTATAAAAGCATAAAATACATATAAACAAGTTAACTATTTAATATTCTTACACCCTCCTTTAGTAGTTTTTCCTTAAATTGGTCTCACCTTGCAATCTAATTATCACAGGTGTCAGAGATTGTTTTCAGTGATCAAAAGAGCCCTGAGACACAATGCCATCCATGAGTTAAACTGAAAAACAAAATATTTAATCTTTGTGACACTTAAATAGAATTTGCATAATAATTTGGAACAGGGTGTAAAAACAGGATAGAGAGCAACCCATAGGGAGGCAGCGAGAGATTAGAGTGGTCAATGTGTGGCTGAAGACTTGGTGCAGGAAAGAGGATTTTGGGTTTTTAGAGCACTGGGCCACCTTTGCACTTAGGTACAACCTGTATAGTGGTGATGGATTGCACTTAAACGGAGGGTCTGCTGTGCTCTGGGATAGGATGGCTAGAAAGTTGGAGGAGATTTTAAACTAGTAGTAGGGGGGAGGGTCAAAGCAATCTAGAAAATGGAGATAGGATAGAAAGGAGATGGGCTTTAGCTGAGAATAAAGGGGGTGGAAATGGGGGGAGGGGAAAGCTCAGAACAGAGGAGGTATGTAATATTGATAATTCACGAAAAGTACAAATGACTCATGATAATATTAAATGTATGCTTATTAATGCAAGGAGCCTATATAACAAAATTGGGAACTAAAGGCAATAGCATACACTAAACAATATGATATAATGGGCATAACAGAAACATGGTGGGATGAGGCCAAGAAGGGCAGTTAACTTAAATGGGTACACTTTATTTAGGAAGGATAGGAAAAACAGGAAGGGTGGTGGGGTATGTTTGTATGCCAACCATGAGTTAAAGTAAAATCTTAGGCATGAGGCCCTGGGGAGATAGGGCAGCTAAGCGGAAAAGGGCACATGTATGTGTGTGTGGATAGATGCAGTGGATTGGTTGGGAAAGAATGTGTGGGTGGGATTATGTTCTGGGAAAGAATGTGTGGGTGGGATTATGTTGTGTAAATTAGTGTGGGGGAGGTCTTACCTCAGTGCCACTTGGGATTCGGGCCAGCAAACATCTTCCTGTCCTCCTGCTCCTGTTTGTCCTGGGCCTGCAGGTTTACCAGCTTATGGGATGGAGGTTGAGGCTGTCTGGCTTCCCTCCAAGCTGATGCAGCGTGGATTGTGGCCGGCAACTCCTGACCCAGGTGCTCTCCTCTCCCCTGGTGTGGGTCGCCCCCCCCCGCGGCCTGTCTCCCTCTGGGGCCTTCCCTGTGGCCCCTGCTCCTGGGGACCGTGATGGCGCCGGCCCGCATTCCCGCCCACTGGCTAAGCTTCCCCCCCCCCGACACTGCTCCTCAGGCCCGGTTGAGGAGGTCGAGCCCGGGCCCAAGGCATCACCTGGCCTGCATGTCTGAGGCTCTAGAAACGAGACCTGCAACTGCCACGCAGGATGTGCAGCCTCCTGCCGCCGCACAGGACTTGCAGCCTTCCCCTCCTGCAGCCACATGACAGGCTGCGGCCTCCGACGTTAGGTTTCGTGCCGGAGGCAGTAGGAGGCGGGCGGCGTGTCCTGCGACTTGTGTGGCCATCCAGCGGAGAATGGGCCCCGCGGAGTTGCGCAGGGACTAATCTCTAAAGGGCCCTCATCTCCTCCCCCGGTGTCCCCCTATTTTTCATTTTGTTGCTGTTGATCCATCTGTTGTTCTTCCCCCTCTTCCCCTCTGTCAGTTCTCTCCCCCTTCCCCTCTTTCTGTTCTTCTCCTCTGTGTCCTATCTCCTCCCCCTTTCCTTTCCTCCCCGGCTCTTACCTGTTTCTGTCCCTTCTGGGTCTTCTCTGCCTTCTGTTCTTCTCTCTCTGCCTTCTGTTCTTCTCTCTGCCTTCTGTTCTTCTCTCTGCTGGCTATTTACCTAGGCTGCCTCCTGGTGGAGCGTGGGCTCAGATCCTCTCCATGCCCTTTTCACAGGTCCTGGCTGCAGTTCACAGAAATAACCAGCAGGTGGCGCCTGGAACACCTTGGAAGAACACATTGGAAGCTGATCTCAGTGTCTTCTGCCAGGACCTCTACGCTTGCTATGCCACGGGCGGTACAACGGGGGTGTACATGAGTACATTGTTCCTTCTTTTATCCAGTCGGGTCCCCGGGGGGTTCTTTTAGATCTGGGGGGGGGTCTTAGCACGGTAATAAAAAAAAAATTCTGAATAAGTAAATAAAATGAGAAATAAAAAATTCATAAATTTAAAAAAAAAAAAAGAAGAAGAAAAAACAGTACATGGACGCCGCTTACCAGGGAGTCCACTCTGGTTATTCAGCCCCCCCCCATTCCATTATCAGTATTTATCATATGTTAAAGTACAGTTTCCTGCAGCATCCTGCGCAGCCCAGGAGGCAGGCGGTTCAGGTGGCTTAGGACGCTGCTGATGTGCGCTAGTATGGCCCGCTTGGCTTGCGTATGTCGCAAAATACTAGGGAGCAGATTGGAGAAGGGGTTTTATTAGAGATATTTTCCCTCATGCCCTCATGCCGCTGGGGGCCTCTTGCTTTAAAGGGACGGTAGGGACTTCGGGAGGGACGTGGAAAAAATACCGTAATCGGTTACACCCCATGACGCGCGGGAATTGTGTCCGGGCATCGTATGTTCTGGATAGCATCATCGGGGAGAGGGCACCCCGAGTATGCTCCACATTTTTCTGTTGTCAGGACACTCTCTGGGACACATGTGGTCCCTAGGGTGAGCTGGGTTGGTGGAGGTATGTCTTGCAATTTTGTCAACGGTTGGCAGTGCGACCCTTCTTGGCCTGGGACTTAGGCCTCTGGTTTTTCCTATATGATGGCATGATGCAATGGTCCGTGTGGTTATGGCTGCAAGGCTTTGTGGCCTTGCTGACAAAGGCAGCTGTGGAATCGGCTTTCCAGCTGCTGCGGCTGTGCGCGCCAGGTTATTGTTTTCCAGGCTGTATTTCTGATGGTTAGTGTTATGGTGCTATGTGCCTCCACATGGGTTGCTTCCAATGTCGCTTATGAGTGGGGCCGATAGTGTCGCACGTCCGTGCTCTGCTGCTGTGGTGTTTTCTTGTGGTAGTGTTTCAGCGTTTCGGAGTTCAGTGGCCCAGAACGTAACCGTGGGTCGGGATACGTGCTGTAGTTTCCTGGATAGTGGGATCGATCCCAGGGCAGGGGAACGTCGGTTGCCCCTGACTGCGGTTTTAGATATCAGGTGGGAGGTGTCGGTGGTTTTGGGGGCAATGTGGGTTTCAGCTGTGCTACCCATGGGCTCTCCTGGGTAAGCTGGGCTGTATGTGGTTCCTTCTTGGCCTCCCATAATGGTAGCTTGTGCAGGCAGCCCCCGTAGGTCCCTTCCACTGACTTTCTCCTGTTTACCGCTGCAGCAGATTTGGGAGGCTCGGGCCATTTTGGGCTCTCAATGGTGTGCTGACTCTTGCCCAGTAAGCTGGCAAGCATCGGAGCTCTTGAAGACTCTGGCTGTCTTGGAGCTCCTCCCATTCTCTACTGCTTCTATTTCGGTGGGGTGTTCCACTTGGGGCTAGAATTCCTGGGTGATGATTGTGTGGATTTCAAGGGGCATTCATTCATTAGGGTTGGCTCCAGACGCTGCTAGGCTTGGCGTGCCTGCGCCAATGGTTCAAAGGCTCGGATGGTGGGAGTCAGGGCGGTAGGTTACGTAGGTTTACCCTGCCGGTCTCTAGAGTTGATTTATTTCCGCAGTTTTGGTTCCCCCGGAATAGGGATGGTGGAATGCTCCTATGTCATTTGGGCCGGGAGGCGGCAGGCGGTCTGACCTGGTGCGAGTGGTTGGATCTTACGCCTTCTTGAGCGGAGGTTCGGTGGTTTGGCACCAGATACATGAGGTGGGTGTGGCTCCTCCCTGACCTGGGTTAGCAGTCCAGCCTCCTAGGGGTACCGTGGGTTTGTCATCCATCTGGGGGGAATGACCTGTTCGGTGCTCGTTTGGAATTTGTGCTGACCTTAAATCTGGACATGTCACCCATTCTGTTTTCTTTCCATATGTTCACAAGGTCTGGGCTGAGGTTATCACCCGTTCCTTTTGGCAGGGCACTCAGCAATGTGAGTGCCCTAGTGCGCTGCGTTGGAAATCGAACAAGACGAGTTTCTAGGTTTGTCTTGGGGGCTTGGGGGATTCCAGTTCGCCTTAGGGTTCTGAGCGGGATGTGGCCTTGTTATCTCGAGGGGTTGGGGTGCACTTGCTGGAGGTCGGACTAGGCCTTTGTTAATCTCGCTCTACAAGAAGTGGTTGAACAGGCCATGGATGGTTTTTGTGGGGACCTCTGCTGATTTTAGGCATAAAATAGTGGGGTTGTGGCCGGGGGTATGTTTTTAAGGGGTTACGTTTAAGAATATGGTATGAGATGAACAAGTTTTTAAGGTCTCTACCTCCCCTGCTCTAAAGGGTTAACCTTAGGTTACCTGGCATGTCGTGCCCATCGAGCGTGGATAAGGTCGGCTGATGGAAGGCACTGGAAGGAAATGATTTTTATGCCAAGGGGGGGAGGTGAGAGGAAGTGGTACATAGGCGCATGGTCAGTTTATTGGCAAGGACGGTTGGGTTCACTGTATGACACTATGTGTTTAGTTATATGCATATATATGTTAAGTTATGGTTATTTATGTTTAACGTTTTGGTTACTGAAAAGAAGAGAAATTATTAAATAAATTATGGATGTGTCATACAGTATTTGTCATATGTTATAATAAATGCTGCGGCCTGTTTTCAT